CCCCAAAACCCCAAAACCCCAAAACCCCAAAACCCCAACCTCATGAGAAATGTTGAATATAATATTTATAAAAATGGGAGATAATTTGATATACAACCCTTTCGCAAAAATGAAGCTGTTTAGTCCCCAATCCCAAAGCCCATCAGCGGCTGCTTACTGGATGAAAAATTTAGAGCAGAAAGCCTCATTCCCAATTCCAGGAGAACGGAATACTTATTTTGAAAATTCACCTGGAAAATTCATCAACTTGAGGAAAAATAAATGGTAAGTTAAACCATCCTTGCAAGCTTAGTCTAACCACTAATTTTTTGAAATTTTCTAAAATATACCCTTATTTATACAGGTTGGTCAATAAAGGCAATCCAAGGCATAAGAAAAATAAGCATTGCAAAGGTACCCCTGCTCAATTATGCATTTTAGAAGGGAAAATTTCAAATAAAGCTAAGAAGAAATTAAAAAGGCCAGCCCATAAAAGAGAAAATACTGGAATAAAGATTTTATGAAAAAGAGACCAATGTAATTCTTTTGAGGCTCCAAAAATATGTCTGAAATCTTATATAGCAATGAAAAGCATCGAAGATATCAAGTTTAAAGGCAAAATTAAAAAGAAAACCCCATTCTTTATCACTAATAACTCTGGAAGAAAGCATAGACAAAAGATGAAATATTTCAGTCCTCAGACATCGTATTAGGTATAAATCTTGTTAAAAATTAGAGGATATCAACAAAATAAAGCCTCATAGTCAACTAATCAAAAAGCAGTTGTCTAATATCCCGGATAAACCAGAAGAAAATGACTCAGAACAAGATCACGAAAACTCTAAGCACAAGGAGAGTTCTCAAAGACTTGTGAAGAGTCATTCAAGAGCTACTTCTGGATACAACAGAAAATACAAAGAGGCTAAGGCTGCTAGGTAAGCAACACAAATTTTTATAAGATTTATTCCCATTTCTAGGCTCAAGAAATATGGCAAGAAACCAAACAGAAATTTCTTTGAAGGCTCCTTCAGCCTGTTATCGAATAATAAGAACAAACCTACAACTTTTAAAACTCAGCATATGACTAAAAGAGCAATCAAGGAGAGAGCTTCCAGAATGAAAATTATTAAGCGGAGACTTGATATATTTGGGAATAGAAGCATGTCCCACCTCAGACATAGAAACCCTCAGACTAATCTGAGAAGGCTCAAAAAGGATGAAATCCTAGCCTCCTCGCCACTATTTGAGCGTTCGAAAATAGAGAAGCGAAGGGTTTTGGCTAAAAATGGTCAGAAAGGTGAACTTGATCAGAAAAATTATACAAAATCATTTCAATTAGAATCTAATGATTTGCTTAATCATAAATTTGAGCAGAAACTACTTCCAGATAAGGAAAAACCAGTGTTAAATCTCAAAGAATTTAGTATTCTCAAACCTAAAAGTGCTGTTCAACGAAAAATAGAAAGTAATGTTGACCATAATAAGAATTCAAAGAGCTCTTCATCAACAGATAATGATAACAGTAGCTCATCTTCAAGTAGCTCTACTAGCTCTGATTTGTGAAGCCCGGAGATGTCTGGAAACAAGAGGATTAGCATCCAAAAGTTGAAAACTCACCTTGATCGGTCGAAAAATAGTGCCGTATCACCTGGCTTAAACCCTCATAAAGCTTCTGTTCTTGGAATGCAGAAGCTAAAAGTGCCTAGTTTCAACAATAGAAGAATGAGTAGTGTGATTGGAGATATTGGGCTAAACAAACTCAGCTTTCCAGTGCTACATAAAATTAACTCAAAGCATAACTCTTCTAAGTTATCGCTACACAAAAACCAAAGTATCGAATCTTATTTCAGTATGAAAAACAACGAAGCTTCAAAGAAGGAAGAGAGCAAATTAATTGTAGGGAATGATGGGCTGCCTATAGTTAATGAGAAATCAATATCCACTAGTTCTACAGGTTCAGGGTAAGGACTATATTTATCACTTTAGACCTCCAAGGAACCGCAAGAGGAGAAAGAGACATAGATCTAAGGTCAAATAAACTGTATAAGCCTAGACCTAAGCTTAAGCTCAAAGAGATTCAGATGAACCTTGAGTCCAATACTGAGATTGGAAGAATAACAGATTTCCAGGCTGAGGAAGATAAGACTAATGTATCTCCAAGCCCATTGTAAGCTTTGATTATGATAAATCACAGAGGTCTGCATTTTAAGAAAAATAGTTCGGAAACTCCATGTTTGGTTCCTCGAAAATAAGAGGCTCTCAGAGTTCAGAGTCCTTCAAAAGATTGGAGAAGGAGCTTTTGGAAAGGTATACCTTATAGTTCAGGAGAAAAATGGGAAGGTAAATTTCACTCTAACTTATAGAGCCTACTGCTAGCATTAAAGGTGATTAACAAAGCTTTACTTAAAACAGAAAATGATATGGTGAGTATCAAGAGAGAAAAATATGTGTTGAAAGAGCTGAGGAAAAATCCGTTCATAGTGAGGCTTAAATACACCTTTCAAGATGAGTCAAACATCTATCTGGTACAGGAGTATCTAGGTGGAGGAGATATTTGCACTCTGATCCGAAGGAAGCTAGGGTTTACAAACTATGAAGTTCAGTTCTATCTCTCTGAAATCATACTTGCCCTTCAAATATTACATAAGGAGAATATTATTTATCGTGATCTGAAGCCAGAAAATATCATGATTGATCTAAGCGGTCATGTTAAATTAGTCGATTTCGGATTTGCAAAGAGACTAAATGATGTCACAAAGGATAAAACATATACTGTCTGAGGAACACCTGGATATATTAGCCCTGAAATACTCACATGTGCAGGCCATAGCTATAAGACAGATATTTGGGGACTTGGAATAGTCATTTGAGAAATCTTAGGAGGATTTAATCCTTTCAATGATGTAAGTCCGCAATAAAAATGAATGCCAAGATTGTAAATTGAAAAATCAGATTTCCGAATAATACATCAATCGGGATGAAAAACTTGATAAAACTAATCCTAGTCAATGATCCGGCTGCTAGGCTAGAACTTGATGAAATAAAAGATCATCCCTTCTTTAACAAAGTGGATTGGTCAAATGTTGAAAAGTTAAGCCAAACTCCTCCATATATCCCAAAAGAGTTTACAAACCATGGGCTGATCATGGCAAAATATAAAGGAGTAAACTTAAAAATTGAAGAGAGCTTCCCAAAGATGGATTTCAGCTCCTTTAATGATTATAATCTAATCAGAGTCAATGAAGAATTTAAGAATTTTTAAGATTGCAAAATTTTCAATAACTAAGATAGCATGGGGTTTTGGGGTTTTGGGGTTTTGGGGTTTTGGGGTTTTGGGG